TAAAAATAACAATCAGTAAAATAAATAGCAAATAGAGATTTAATTATTAATATTGCATTGTTTACCAACCGTATAAAGGTTCCAATTCCACAGAATGTAATCTTTCGACAACGGCGGTGCTTGAAAAAGATACGCATGCACCAATAAAAATAGATTCATTAACGCTAGTATTTATTATGGCTCCGACCGATACGAAAAAGAAAAGTGTCACTACAAATATCATGGAGGCACTACCCAGTGCAAAACGCCAAATAGATTTAACCTTCTCGAAAGAAAATTCTATGCCTAACATAAATACTATGAATAAAATTCCAAACTGTGCGAGTGTTTCTGTTTGAATAAGTTCCTATTGAAAAAGAAAAATTGTTATTTTATGACATATATTAGCTTTAGTATTCTTACCATTCAAATATACCTGAATGACGTTATATCCTGATGGCCCAAGTATGCAGCCGGCAATAATATATCCCAAGAATGCTGATGAAAATCACATCAGAATATAATAAACAATAAAATAATTTTATATAGTGTCAATAATACATTTTTGAAAACAAAACCAGTCGGCAAAAGTGCACAAAGAATTACCTGGTAGTCCTAAGTTATTAAATATCCAACCGAAAAGGAATGCTCCGATAATAATAAAAATCAAATCTTGTATAAGACGACCGTCTGATAAATAAATTCAAATATGTGTCATAAGTGTTTCAATGAGCTTTTAGAAAACAGTTACGTTTTATTTACCTTCATAAAATGCGGACAGATCATCCGGTCTAGTGAGAATGTATTCATTATTTTCTCCGTCTACAAGCATCATAACTTTCCCGGATTTATGGTAGTGTGACCCTTCACGTGAAAATTTAGGATAAAATTCTTCATCGTCTTCCTCCTCCAATTTAAATACCATATCCAGAGATCCATGTACTTTAGAACCATCCGGAAACCTATGCTGATGCATATTTTCTTCTAACCGATCCGCCTCGACACCAACATCTTGTAGTAAGTCTTTAAACAAATCGAGGGTGCTTCCGTGATGAGATCTATGTTCTTCTGTTGTTTCATATTGTGTATGAATGCTTTTGTTTACGTATTGATCCCATATTTGCAGCAGAAATTCGGTGTCATTCATTGACAGTGCTTTATGGTGGAAATTTGTAATAAGTCTCAAAGTTTCTACGTTGAATTCTGGATGAGAAATTGAATCGCTTTCTTCAATAAGTTTTTCGAAAATTTCAAAGAGACCAAGAGTCAAATCTTTAAATGCTTCTGCTCGAGAAAGTGAGAATTTTATTGAATTTATTATATCGTCTTTTTCTTTCTCCGAAATTTCTTTATTATCTCTAATAACTGATAGTCGTACCACCTCAGTCTCTATGTATCGTTGATACTTTTGCGTGAGATCCGGTAAGATGCATGTCTTGAATATTATTAATAATATCGTTATGCTGATTATAAGTAAGCATCTTCAGAAATACTATTTAAAAAAGACGTCTAAATTTACCTGTGCCTCTCCTGACGAAGCGTTTACAATACTTTCACAAATTACTTCAACAAAAGATGGAAATAAAAAAAACCACCCCAGCAATATTGTTTTTGGGAACTTGAGGATGCTTGATGGAAGCATTATTTTAATTGTTAACGTTTGTTATGAAGTATGGTTCCAGTGAATGAGAGTGGTGAGAAGATACGACAATCAACCATAACAATGCGAAAACAGGACCGCGAACCGTTATAAAGTTTGTGATTTATTTGTGTCATTGTTACTCTATATTCGGCAATATTAATGTATCTACCTAATTAGTAAGTAACGCGTTTTTTTTTTGCCCAGTTGTGCTTATTGATAATGTTAATAATTAATAATTATCAGATATCTACTAATTTATTCCTAACTCTATTAGTATTCAAAAAATAAAAATTTTTACTATCACCAATTATTTCATTAAAAGATTATTATCAACACCAACAAATTATCCAATAGAATGCAGTGTTTAATATCTCAAGAGAAAATATTATCTCTTTATCTTCAAAATAGGAAGGAGTGATATAAATTTATGGTATTGATTAGGATATCAATATTCTGAAGAATAATTAGGAATCAGATCTTATCAGTTCTATTGGCAAATGTTAGTATCAAACTATAAAAAAAAAAAACTTTATTTAAGTATATTCTCTTGAAACCTATATAAAAATTTTTAAATAATTTATATTTAAAAAGAATTTATATTTAAACTAGAATTTTATTAGAATTATATGTACTTGAAATTAAGTTTGATTTTGTATTTAAAGAAAAAACACAATATCTGTATTTAATATTTAACAAATTGTAATTAATACTTGATAAATTTATTAAAATAAATTTTAAAAATATAAAAAAATAAAATTTTTAATTTAATTAATTATTTCTTTTTGTTTTCTTTTTTTTATATTTCTTTTTTTTTACTAATTTTATTATAATTTCTATAATTTTTAATAATTTATATTAATAAATATTTTATTGTTCGAAGCAAAGCAAAGGATATTCTATATTTACGATCCTTGATGAAAATAGAGGACACATGTGGATTCTGTCTGTCACGCTTGTGTAACGCATGGTTTTTTATTATTAGCTTCGAACTTACAATGGTTTCCATTTTCTAGTATTTTTTAATTTTTAATTTTTTTTTTTTAATCCCACAATCAGGTTGGTGTCGTTTATTTATTTAATCATAAAGAACCATTACAAGTTGAAAATCCATGTAAAGTATAAATT